CTCGATGCTGATGGCTGGATCTGCTGGTCACGTTCATGCATGTAGGCTCGTCGCTCTGGCTTGGGTCCCCTGATTGGCGACACTCTGCAAATAACCGTCATGTGGCGCAACTCTGAGTACCTGTCGGGGCATAGCCAGCATTGGCATGCAATCTAAATAGCTTGTAGAAGCAAAAGGTCAGTGCAGCTGTCGAATTGGGCACCTAGACCGGCGATGATCTTGCTCTTTGCGCTTTGCTCTTGTACTCCTTGCAATGCAGACGTACACTATCTCTTCGCTTTGCTGCCTGTGTCGAACGAACCGCGTATCGCCAGGCATGTCGGCTATCGTCGCCCTTTGCGAGACGCGTTCATCTGTACAGCTTGCTCAGGTCTTTCCTATGGCGTGCATTGCCATGCTAGACCGATCATCTCGTTCTTGCCGATGCAGGCTTGCTCACATCCCACGAAATGAGCACCGCCAAGGCCTGTAGCCGTCAGTAAGGATCTGATTCGCGGTCACGCCCCGAACCATGTTCCGCTCACGTTGCTCCCTGCAGGAGACTCGCTCACTGATCGGAGACCGTGCTAACAGAGACATAGCAGAAGACAAAGGGATGTACAGATCTGCAAGNCGCTCGCTCATCTCATCACGCAACGAGTAAATTNAATGCAATNTGTTCATTGGGCAGTAGCTTACTACGCGCCGCAGAGCGATGCACATGTCAGCGTTGATCGCTCGCTCTATCATTGCCGGTCACGCCGAGCGACTCGCGCTCGACTCACCTAGGCCGCCCCCGACCTTGACGCGCCACGCTTCACGACAAGTCTGCCTTTCGCTTTTCTGCAGCTGTCTCGCTAGCACGCGATACCTCCTGACGTGAACGAAACCGATGCGGTTCAGCGGAGACGACGTTGCATCCAGCGATCCAGAAGGACCCGACGAGATCGAGGAGAGCGAAGCGTCCAGGGTCGAATGTCTCAGAGAACGCCTCGCTTGCTCAGTTGAGGCAGCGCAGAGCTACCTCGAACGCTACGCTAGTGATCATCATCTTCTCGTGGCTCGGCACGATGAGCTCTATGCGAAAGACGAACAACTCGCCGAGCAGAATGCGCTCATCACCACGATGCGCAGCCGATTGCTGGACCTCGAGCTGCAACTGACCGGACCGCGCGACGCGACAGACAATAGTCCTGGTACGAGCCGTCAAGTCAAACTAGCGGATCAGCATGACCAATCAGCTGGAGACACAGACGGGCCAAGGCAATGATCATCCGCTCAATCTTTCATCCGCGGCACGAACCTTGACGAGCCTCTCTGCAGAGGACATCAACGTTGGTGTGCTAGGTTACCCGACTGCGCCCGAAGCTCTCGGTGCGATCAGCTGTTCGGAAGAGTTTCGTTTGACCTCTACCGAACAAGCTGATATCCTGGCGGTTTCACAAAAAGCCAAGTTACCCCAACATGTCGCTAGAAATACAGTATTCTGGAACTTCAGTCAAGCTGTCAAAGCAGGCACCTTTCCAGGTGAGAAGTGGCTTGACGTACGGTTCTGGGTGCGCGACGTTCTGTACAGCCCCATATCGGCGGCTGCCGGCATCGAGGCCTCATCTGATGCACAGACTGCTTACGCGCCTCGATCACCTCACAAGACGCTATGACCCTCTCGCGAGCTTCGTTCGAGCGTGTACAAATGTGCTCGATAGCGCCAGACTGTGTAGCCTCTCAGTCACACGCACGACAATGTATGATTTCATACAAGAGTACATAATGCCCGTCCACTTCTTCCCATCACTCACAGCATCTCTCTTGACCGGTCCAGCAGCGCGGCACACAGCACAGTACAGTACAGTACAGTACAGTACAGTACAGTACAGTACAGCATCTCATCTCATCACGTCATGAAGGTCACGATCACATTTGTCACACTAGCGCTGGTCGCACTCGAAGCATCTGCCCACGGACTCATCACAGCAGTACAAGGCGCGAACGGCATCAATAACGTCGGGTTCGCCAACAATGACTCTGTTCAGCGAAACTCTGGTCTGCCCATCCCGGCCACAGAAGGCGATACTTCCGTCATTCGCAATCGTGAGATNGCNAACGGCAACGTCGATGTCTGCGGCAAGACAGGCATGGGCGGCGTCGTGAATATTCAGCAAGANATGTCNCGAATGGAATCGACCGGCATGGCGAGCGTACACCCAGGCGGNGTGGTCAAGCTGACGATCCACCAAGTCAANCANGACGGCGCTGGACCATACACATGCGATGCAAGTCTGATCGTTGGCTTTGNATGCNTCGAACAAGGCTGACCCATACGATTGTAACAGGCCTCTGCTGCGGGCGATGGGTCCGATTGGGTATCGATGCAAATGGCGAAAAACGTTCCAGGCCTAGGCTTCGGTGGCCTCGGACTAGCAGCAGCCAAGGACTGGCCAGTCGAAGCCGTCATGCCCGCGGGGACACAATGCAAAGCCGGCGCGGACGGTCAGACTTGTCTCATCCGGTGCCGCAATGCCGCTGCTGCCGGTCCCTTCGGATCTTGTGCCGCCGTCACCCAAAAGAACTAATCTC